TTTCGCTATATATGTTTATTAGTTTTGAGTTAGATCGCAATTCATCGGTCCGCTTTTGAGCCAAACGGACTATAGTGTTTCAGATAACTACCACAGAGATATACACAAACTTCGCTATTTTCTATTTGTGTTGTTTTATCGTGACAATGTGTTACTCGAAGCTGTAACCAGCGAGAGTCTATCCATATTTCTACAACTACGCAAGAAAGCTGGAAGATGGCGTACAAAACATTAAACCCTTCCGTCTCTTTTACACCTCGAAAACGCGAATTTAACTGAATTATACAGACAGACCCATGAACATTTAAGACTTTCACTCAAATTTGCCAGCATTCTCTCTTTAATTTGTAAAACTTGTCCACCATTACGTCCCCTTTGGTAATTGATTTTTTCTGTTTTTTGGTTTTGTTTTTGGTTTTTTAACGGGAGCATAGCGACTTGCGTTACTCCTGAACTCCTCAAATGCAGTAAAAGTCAAGAATCGTTATCTTTTGAGTTGTGCGTCGGAACCACTGTGCTCAGAAATTCGCTGACCATTTTCCGCTTTGGAACCTGGATGAAACATGGTAGTATAACAACTGTAGTGATGGATGCTTCTCACAATAAGTTTGTCAAAAGAGCCAATTGTTTCATATGACCATCGTTCTATTGCCTTGAGTGAATGGTATTGAAACACGCTGTGTTTCTAAACTTGTTTTGAGTAGTATAAACATATTACAACATTTTAAGAAGCAGCCACGATGTTGATGACGATGCGGTAACATGGTTGTTAAAGGGTTCACTCGTCCCGTGCCATTGTATTGCTAGAATAGTGTTAAATGTTTCAGCAAACAACACTCACTCCATCACTAACCCACTGCATTGTTCTGTGGAACGAAGCATGAAAAACTGTATTTCTCAATCGCCTTTTAGATAACATAAAAAAATATGTTGTATTTATATTCATACACCGACATATATATTCATACATCGATATATACTACCCATCAAAAGTAACTCACACGAGTAAATGTAGCCACTTACTTCAATCAACTGTTCCCTACTAGATTTTGCAAAATACTCCATACTGTTTAAAGGTACTGTTTACACATGAACTGATGTATTGTAAAACAAATTCGTAACGTTGGAAAGATTGTCATGAGTTCAATAAATGATAAAAATCAGTGTAAATTGGCAAAGTCTTAACAAAACTTTACACCAAAACGCAGCCGTTCACATGCATGATATTTGCACATGCTTTTCAAAAATTTGATGCATGATCCTCGTGCAATTCATCTGCATAAGGTTTGCAGTTGGTTCCCCAAGTTCGTGGAGAAATTCATCTTCGATGTTACCACTTATAGTGACTGCTTTATAAGTGAGTCCAAATTTTTGATGGGTAGTAATCATGAATATGAATATATGTATTTATGAAGAATTTTGTATAACATGAGAGCATTTATAGAGTGTAACGTATAGATAATGTGAGTGGTATTTGGAGAGCAAATGAGGTTTTACGCCGCTTTTGTCAATAATCCCTCAACATGAGTACAGGGCATTGCGGCATGGACTTCAAACTCACACAGGAATCCAACAGGGGCCTTCGGAGTTACAAACGTTACACCCGCTAGGCTACACCACAGCCGATTCACAAAATGAACTACAATCCTCATAGGAATTGCATATCCGAACGTTAAAAAGTGTTATCTTACTGCCATTGATCACTACAGATTTCATCTTTGTTTCTTTAGAAAATCTAGTTCTCCATTGATTATAATATCACACTTAAGAAAAAATGTTGCCTTTTTGCCATTGAAAACCTTACCTCTAATCTTTGTTTCTTCATAAAATATATTTATTGATTATAACCTTAATTTCAGTTGCTCTCTATCCTAACGATCGAGCTAAGTATGTATTGTTTGTCGAGGTATCAATTAATGTCTATCAATACAGGTAATTGAAGAGCAAACATAGGTATCGACGGACGCTAGACAGATCTATTAATATCTTTTTTTTCTAAAGGATGCTATATACCAGGCCATGATTAATATTTCACAAGACAACACCCTTTGTGGAATTATCTCACGAAAGCCTTAATGGAGAGCACCAATGATCAATGAGTACCTGGGCTTCACTGTACTGTCAATAGTTACACAATTAATTTGATCCCCGCTGAAGGAGATTCAGCTTAGAGCTTGCTCCTCTTCGTGTTTTAGAAATAGTAAAAGGCCTTATGCATTTAAAAGGCTCCGAAAAAATTGTATCAGAATTTATCTGAGCTGGCTAATGAGAATACATGGAGTTAGAATGTTATGCTGAGGCTGTTTTTGTTGTTTTTCTCAAGCAAGGCATGTTCAGCATACTTTAAGACAAAACAGTGAAACCGCATTTACTCTTATTGGCGCCACCACTACATAATTCAGTTATTATAATAGTCAAGCTTATATTGGAGAGTCGACGCTTTCTTAGAGTCCTACTAAAATGGCATTTTGGAGTGAGTGAGTTTAGTTTACGCCGCTCTCAGCGTTATATTCCTGCTTCGCGTCAGTATTCGGCTCTGCAGAGTTACCTCCCTTAGACGTTTGGGGCGGTGGCGTAGCCTAGTGGTTAAAGCGTTCGCTCGTCACGCCGAAAACCCATGTTCGATTCCCCACATGGGTACAATGTGTGAAGCCCATTTGTGGTGTCCCCCACCGTGATATTGCTTGAATATTGGTAAGAGCGGCGTAAAACTTCCTTCACTCACTCACTTACCCATATATGAATACGATCCAAAGAGTGAAAGAATAACCCACCTTCTTCCATCCCGCTTTATTTACGTCGTCCTTTGATGTTCTTCCGAAACTATATTTTTTAACACAATACTACATCTAACGCTACAGCCAGCTCAAATGTGCTTAGAAGAATATAGGTCAAGTGTTATTGATGAGTGTTATCATTAGGAGAGAGGAGGTCATGTTGTCGATGTCCGTTGACCGTGTTACAGAAGGAAACTTTCTCCACCTTAAGGCCACAGGTGCTTGTTAACGTCAATTTGGAACGATTGTTGCTTAGTGAAACCCCGTTAATCTGGAACCCTTCAATCCAAATGATGTGTAGCAATGATCCTGGAACCCTTCAATCCCGAGGTCACGGCTTTTTAATTGACTGTCATATATCCAAATGATGTGTAGCAATGATCCGTTAATCCGGACATTTGGCGAGCGCCGTCTGGGTTAATGAGGTGTCACTGTATATCAGGGCACGGTGGATCTGCATTAACGAGGTTTCATGGTATATATATGGCCACACGGGGATCAACAGGGGTGACGATATATAGGATCATAAATGACCTGATTTCTGTGAGGTGACTGTTAAGGGTATGATTGATTTAAACATATTTTCTTCAGTGAAGAAAGGGATTAGGAACAAGTTATCCAACTTAGGTAACCATCTCCCGAGTATTTACAACATGATAAATATACAACAACATACATGGAATATAGAAAAAAGTATAGTACAGAAATGGTAGAGACCTATGTACAGAGATAGTTAAGACATACGAAAATATTTACAGCATTCAAGAAAAACGCTTGCTATTTAATATGTAATGCTGAACTGCTTTAAATATTGCATGATGTTGAGTATATTATAAGTTGTTCACTGGTCACGAGGGGGGCATAGAAACAAACATCGAGGGTACATCAACCCATGGGCCCCGAGGGACCAGTGAACAACGTATTTATCTTACCGAACACCTTAATGTTAATTTTAAATTGTTTGAAGCACGGGTCAAATCATTTTGTAGCCATCGCTAGGTTTAGCTGACAAGAAAAACAGATTTAGAGTTATCTCCCCTCCATCGATTCGCATTCGCAAAACATCGGTAATTTACGTACATCATACGCGATTCAATGTTATTCGAGATAAAGAATTACTTACACGAAGTACCAAATGAATTGCCATTGACAGCGGGGTACATTGAAATGTTACTCGCTTGTAAGCGGGGTACATTGAAAATAATAGAAGAGCGCTCAGCCAATCAGAAAGCCACATTTATGTGTGAGGTAAGATAATGTAAGTTAGTGCTGCCTTTTAATGATAAATCTAAATTTAAAGCATCACCATGTACTTGTAATTTTACAAGGTTAAACATTTTCGTTCTGTGTTCGTTATATAGAGAACACTCAAACATGAAGTGACAAACATTTTCTCGAAAATTACCACATTCACATTTTGAATCTGACCTAATGCCAACATTAAATAAATCGTAATTCAATTCACTAACATGATATCGTAAACGAGTATTTTTGCGGACACCTGTAGAAAAATGTGATGGTGCCATGACAATAGGTTTCTTCAAATATGATTTAGACGTCTCTGTTGATGGTGACATTCGCTTTTCTAATGGGATTTTATTCCATAATACTGACGTTGGTGGGATAAAAGATTGGCATGAGTGTTTAAGTCTATATGATGGTCTTACAAAAATAATCTCTTTTGGTATGATTACTATAGCCATGATGATGATGATGATGATGATGATATATGACCACAGGGGGATTTACAGGGGTCACGATATAGAGGGTCATAAATGGCCTAGATGGACAAGGTTTTTTCCGTGTGAAGGATTCAGTAAAATGTTATAAGAATATACCTGACGTTCCCAACAAACCGTTTGTATTAACAGGGTCCACAAAAACAAGGTTTTACTATCTGTCTTCGTGAGGGTGACTTTTGGGGGTATGATTACTATTGCGATGATGATGATGATGATGATGATGATGATGATGATGATGATGATGATGAAAACACAACCGTGACACCAATACATAACCATCGAATAACAATTTAGTTTTTCCTTCATTTTAGCCACCTTCAAACAATGATGTACGTTTTCTTTTGTTCAACAGTGAACATTCATTGAGATATTTCAATATGTAATATAATAGATTTGATCTGGAGATCTCGGAGGCCATAACTGTAGCGATATTCACTGACACTGAAAGTTAGGGCATTACACGGGGTCTATATTTCTGCAGACCAACAGACGACTGTTCCCTTGGAGTGGACAAGAACTGCCACGCTATGTACATCCTCAGTCAGATGTGGCTCAAGAATCATTTGTCCAATCCCTACAGGTCACCAGGCAAGCGGTCAGTGAGGGATACATCCAGCGTGCTGGGTCACACAAGGACAGCAAGGTCAGTGAGTTAGTGAGTGAATGAGTTAGTGAGTGAGTTTAGTTTTACGCCGCACTAAGCAATATTCCAGCTTCATGGAGGCGATCTGTAAATAATCTGGCCTGGACCAGACAATCCAGTGATCACCAACATGAGCATCGATCTACGCAACTGGGATACGATGATATGTATCAACCAAGTTAGCGAGCCTGACCACCCGATGCCGTTAGTTGCCTCTTACGACAAGCATGGGTTACTGAAGATCAATTCTAACCTGGATCTTCACGAGTGAGCGTGTATGAGCTGGGCTTATCGTCATATGAATTTCGGTTACATTATTTTAGCCTGATGTGAAAGAAAATGTTGGTCGTTTGACACTGTTGTGAAACCACGAGTTCTGAAAAGCATGAAAACATAATGAAAACAATTAAAACGATACAGGATTCGAACCCACGATCACTGGTTGCGGGCACGCCCAAGGGATGCAACTCTACATAGAGAAGAGCTGCACCTTAGGCCACTCTGGTTCCTTTACCCCTCGGTAGTGTAACATGTATTAACAGCGAGTAAGTGACTATGACTTTACGCCACTTTAGCTATATTCCAGCAACACCAAGGCAACATCAGAAAAAGCAGTCACATTGTACCCATCTGGAGAATCGAACCCAGGGCTCCGGTGAGCGAACGCTATAAACCAATAGCTACCTCGCCTCTCTTGGTGATGTCCAAAAGAAATAAAACATTTCTGAATTTCTTGAGGAACGGTTCCACAAACCAACTTTATTTACCATTTCCTCCTGTCTTAAACCTTTTCGAACGTGTCATTATGTTCATTTCAGGTCCGTTGAAGATCTGTACCGAAAAAGATACATGCTCCGGTCGCTAAGGGCCATTCTGTCCAACACAGAGAAGATGATTAAAGCTGAGAGGTAAAGCACGCCTAGCACAGCGATAGTGATCACTGCCTGACACTAACCTGCTGTTTCCTGAAAGTTTGACACGCAGGTCTATCCACCTTTTGTCTAAATACACTCCTGTTTCCGATTTAAAGCAGGAGTGTGTTTTTAGAATAACCGTGACCTCATATCAGAACCATCAATTTTCTTGAATATATTTTTATCACTTTGTGAATAACTAGGCATTCATCTTCTATTTCATGTTCGTGTGTGTAAAACCTAGCACTAATGCTGTCGTAAATTAGGGCAAGCGACCTCAGCTCCGTTTCCGTGTTAATGCTCATAAACACATCAACCATAGTTCCGCACAAAATGCTACTTCCTGTTTCACAGACAAAAGAAGAATCGTATTACGGAACAAAAAGCCTTCTGCAAGCTGCGGAAAATCCATTTCAGTGTGTGTATTAATATCGGTTTTATAGTGCTAGCCTACTGAGATGATATGGCACAGGGTAATATGGATAACCTCCTCGGACACAGTAGTCTCACTCCGGACCACCAGTCTGTGTTTTATTCCCTTAGCTCCAGGCAGGCTAACAACAAGTACTTTTAACGTCTTTTGGTGTCGTGCGGACTGGGATCAAATCGTTAGGCAGTAGGTGTTGATATTACTAATAAATGTAGTAATAGTAGTAATAGTCCACTTATATGGCGCTCATATCCAGGCACATTGCCTGCTCACGGCGCTATACGTACATTACTATCCTTTGTCATAGGACAGTATCGTACTTTCTGATACTTTTTCAACTCCCTAGATGTACGAATAGAAATCTGAAGATTGAAAACTGTGAAAAGTATTTATTACTTGGTTGGTGAAGCTTCTTTAGAATTTCAGAATCTTAGACAATATCATCCAACTAAAGCTGTCATTTTCCATATCGCATCTTCAGTCTCGAAAACATGCGCTTGTCTCAGGATATTCATAGTTTATCGTGACAGACACGACACTTCATGTTAAAAAGGAATTGTCGTATTAAGGCGATACTTTTATAAGTTATTATTTAGTGGGTTTTTTCAAACATCTTCATCTTTTACTAATTAGAAACATATAAAAATATCTGCGAAAAGCATTTGAGAAAAACGGGTTCTGCTAACATACCGTAAAGAGAACAAAGGCTTTTCAGATTCTGATCCCCCAGAATTGGGACTGTTATTTTTTAACATTGCCCATCGATACAAAACATATTCGTGCCACATTAAAAAAGTTAAAATGGTGGCTCACACAGTTGATATATATATATATATATATATAGCAAGCGGATTTTGGGTTAGGGTAATATCCGACACCATTAAACAAAATGAGTGATCAAATGGTGATTCCTGGGCAGGCTATAGAGCAACCTGCAACATTAAAGCTGGTGCGAGGGCCGGAGACTACAAAATTTGTTGCGGGCAAGTGAAATTCCAATGATGGTTGTCGTCCTTAATATGTAGCTTCTGAAGGCAAACCTAATTAGGAAACTATTATCAACGCTTTAGTTTCGCTACAATTTGAGATTGAAAATGCAAACACAGAAAAAAAATTTCTGTCTACCTCAAGTAGGACTGGATTTATAATCTGAGGACCTGTGAAATAGGGCGAATTTCTAAGGCTGTTGCAGGAATTGTTCGCCGTTTGTTCCAGGAAGAGATCGTGCAACTTGAACCTAGGGTTCCACTGCCAGACCGACGAATACTCCTCCATAGCTGATCTGTACGACTTCCTCTCCAGCGACATGAGCCCGGGCAAGAGGAAGAGGACAGTGGACGACTCTCTCAACACATCGTGAAGTAAGTTACCTGTTCTCACAGTGTGGCCTAACAACTACACAGTCATATCACAGATCTACTTATATTCATGTGCTTACTGTGGGTCTGTTGGGTTTAATGTCGCTTTGAACAATATTTCAGTTGTTTGTTGTTGGAGGAAAGCCACATAATGAGTGAGTGACTTTAGTTTTACGCCGCGTTTAGCAATATCACAGCGGGGACACCAGAAATGGTCTTCACACATGGTACCCTTGGGGAATCGAACCCGGGTTTTCGGTGTCGGCGAACGCTTTAACCACTCGGCTACCCCACCGCCCTAAAAGCCACATAAGATTACGACTGTGGTTTAAATCCAGAATAGCTCCGAGTGTCATTCTTGGTTTGTCTGCGCCAGCCGCGTTCTGTTAGGTTTTTACAACAAAGTAAACATCATAGACCTGTATCGTTTCGGGATTTCTTTCCGCAACAAACTACCCGTGAAGATCCTGCATAGCAACAAAACTCTTTCGTAACTCCCAAACTGATCTCTGCTGAGAGTTTACCTGACTCCCAAACTGATCTCTGCTGACGGGAGTTCAACAAACAAGACGAACAACAGACCCAGAAATGGGCTTAATCTGAAACGCTTTGATATGAAGCTTAAATATTTCTCAGAGTGGCGTTGAACAACAAACAAAGAGAACAACAGACCCACATTAGTATTGATCAAAGATCAAAGCGGCGTTAAAGAACAAAATAATAAACTTTGCTTTTTTGTACTCTTTTAACCATTACATATGAAAGATTTGTGGTTAGTCTTATGCGGAACACCAAATTAATTCTTAAAAAACTTGTGGTTAATTAATACCGAGCGATTAAAAGTTGCCAAAATTCGCCTGCTTCACTCTCGCCCGCCAACGAAACCACAGACAGGTTACGTAACTCTGTCGCCAGAGCACTGCAGTGACGTCATATGAGGAAGGATTTTCAGTTAGTTGTATATAAAGTGTGTAGCAAGCTTGTCATTTTGATGATTTCTCGACATCAACGAAGACATGCCGAATCGTTGCTTTGTCGTCAATTGCTCCTAGGGGTCGGGCGATGGTGTCACCATGCACAGGTTTCCAAAGGACCCAGCAGTACGTGCTAAATGGGTTATGTTTGTGTAATTGTGAGTGCGAAGCGAGCGTTGTGGAAGCCTGAAACGAAGCCTGAAACGATAGTAAGTAGTATTATATTGACACCCACCTCGCTTCCACGAGAGAAATTGTTATGTTATAAGCTATGTCATTCAAAATCCTATTGGCCATCAATCAAATACATAATTTACTACCAGTAGAAAGTAGTTTTGATTTGGTAACTCGGTGAAAACAAACCTAAATAGCATTTATCCTCAGACTGGCGGATGTTCGCGACAAGGCGCCGCCATTTTTGAAAATCGTAAAGTCACGGGCTAAAGTCTGTTAGAATTAATGAGATTATGGTTTGTTTTCATCAAGTTAGAAAATCACAACTACTTTCTATCTTGCCCGCCCACTCATTCACTAACGCTCTCAGCGGTTACAGTCACAACGTCGATGTGTCGTAAGAAATTGATTATCATTGTCAACCAGCAAAACAAAAGGTATACAATTTCCACAGATGTAATATATTTTATTGGCAAACATGAGATAAAATCTTCTTCTCTTAGCTATGAATATGACACGGGTCCCATTAACTGTTAGATTTGACTGAACAATTGCAAAGGTTTACATATGCAACATTAGTATTTGCTTTTGTAAAAATGCTCACAGTAACAGAAATATTGTCACGTATGTACACCGTGGGTGGTATCGCTTACGATCAATTATTATTTTGCGTCTAACAGGTATTGCTGTATTTTGTTTGAGTAACACAACAGTGGTGTTAATGTGCTATTCACATTGGTTAGTTTACATTAACTGAGTTAATTGAACCCCTGCGAGTTAATTGAACCCCACCTCAGATGACAATAGGATGACCGGTGTGTGCAGGTGAAAAAGATGACACAGCAGATCTCAATTCACTGTGCGTCCTTTTCTTGTGTCAAAATCCTCTGATCATGGTTGGGAAACCCACCAGCCTGGTTCTCGGGGTATGCTGCGCTGGCGCTTCACTGACCCCAGCTAGGACGGCACAATGGCGTCCACCAGTACTGGGCGACATGCCATATGTTTACTACAGATAAAATATACCTTTGTAATTTGATGACTCATGGTGATTATTTAAAAAAAGTGTAACAGTAATCATGGTGTGGAGACCATGACACCATTGGCAGGTTATCTATGGATAGCGAAAATCTCTGGCTATGAAATTCTTCCATATATACAAATATAAACACTGGAACCTGGTGTTAAAATTACAATGTAGAACTGGTCGCCAAGTTCAAAACAATTTCTACAATATTCAAGCAGAATCACTGATTGTGTGTTGAACTATATGTGTGCGTGCGTGAGTGCGCCTGTGTGTGTATACTGCTGTACATTCAAATGATACTAAAGTACTCCATAGCAGCATTTAACCAAAGTAGTTAATTGTAAATTTACTGAGTAATGATTACATGATTAACGTTTAGCAGATCTATGTTAACATCCACGGGATTATCATGCTCATTATGATCAATATATGCAAATGTATACTCCAATATACACACACGCCTTAAAAGAGCGAGCGAGCGAGTTTAGTTTTACTCCTTTTTTTAGTAATATTCCAGCAATATCTCGGCGGGGGACACCAGAAATGGGCTTCACACATTGTACCCATGTGGGAATCGAACCCGGGTCTTCGGCGTGACGAACGAACGCTTTAACCACTAGGCTACCCGACCGTAGTACTCAGGACAGATAGACTAAATTCCCCAGCTCACAATAAATAGTGCAATGTACGCATGTCTAAATACCCAGGGAACCAGTCTGGGAATCCCACATTCACTCTCAGAGATCCATTTTTGTCAGATCCATGGCGAGACTCGCGGTTTGTAGCCGAAATGGAGTCTACTTACACTTGAGAGGCACTCACCCTCTATCTCAGTAGCTGATGTACACATGTGTTTATGTTACAGATGTCGACAGAGGGTTTGGTACAGGCAAGCAGGGGAGGAAGCAGAGCAACTTCACAGACCAATACCTGTCACGTGACGCATTTTGTACAGATAAAAACAGGTTGTTTCACATTTCGACACGTATGTAATCCAATTTTGAAATAAACTGAACTGGAAGTGGAAGAAATTACAGACTTGTTTTCAGTGACTTGTACTGTTTACTGACAGCCTTCTTTGCAGTCTTAAATTCGGACATTTCCATGTTTTCAGATTTAACCATCGCTAGAATAACGAATCTCTGCTTCGTAGTCTGTGAGTGAGTTTAGTTTTACGCCGATTTTAGCAATATTCCAGCAATATCTCGGCGGGGGACACCAGAAATGGGCTTCACACATTGTACCCATGTATGGAATCGAACCCGGGCCTTCAGTGTGACGAGCGAACGCTTTAACCACTAGGCTACCCCGCTAGGCTACGATTCGTAAAGAGTGTTACAGCTACGTAACGGTCACCTGGTGCCGTCAATGTTACACAATAGGTATGTCAAATATGTCACAGCTCTATCACTGTGACCAGCAACAACTCATTAATGTCACGGGACCAGTCAGCGGTACTGGAAACGTAGGTCAGTAATGTTACAGACTCTGTTTTCCGTCAGTAGTGTAACGTTTATATGACAGCCTTCTTTGCAGTCTTAAATTCGGACATTTCCATGTTTTCAGATTTAACCATCGCTAGAATAACGAATCTCTGCTTCGTAGTCTGTGAGTGAGTTTAGTTTTACGCCGATTTTAGCAATATTCCAGCAATATCTCGGCGGGGGACACCAGAAATGGGCTTCACACATTGTACCCATGTATGGAATCGAACCCGGGCCTTCAGTGTGACGAGCGAACGCTTTAACCACTAGGCTACCCCGCTAGGCTACGATTCGTAAAGAGTGTTACAGCTACGTAACGGTCACCTGTTGCCGTCAATGTTACAGCAATGTCACTGTGTATGTCAAATATGTCACAGCTCTATCACGGTGACCAGCAACAACTCATTAATGTCACGGGACCAGTCAGCAGGTGTTATGGCTGTGAAACGTAGCATGTCAGTAATGTTACAGCTCTGTCACGGTGACCGTCAGTAGTGTAACAGCTATATGACGGTCACCCGTTGCGGTCAATGTTACAGCTATATCACGGTGACCAGTTGTCATAATGCTACAACAATGTTACCCTGCATGTCAGAATTGTTACAGCTCTGTCACGGAGGCTCTCAGTAATGTAACATCTTTTGCGGTGTCTGTCGGCAATACAGCAGCTATATCACGGTGGCCAGTAATCAGCATTGTTACAGCTATTTTTGTACTAGTCAGCAAGACAGACTGATCCGGGCCGTGTTGTGAGCACCAAATATTTTAGATGTGACATAAATAGATCTGCTGGTCAGTCTGAGCGGTTTGTTTGATCGCATGTCATTATACCCTGACGCTAAACTTGTTGCTCATGCTATCAATCACTGGCTCTATCCAAAACTCGATGATTAACAGGCAGCAGTTATATAGCCGTTTCTGGCAGCTTGACTCCTGGGAGTTTTTAGGAGTTCAGTCCTGCCCCACAACGAAGCACACGTGACACATATGATCTCAACAAGAGTTTGTTCAAAATGGCCTCTGTTCACCCAGCAGTGAATGGGTACCCGGTGTGATAAGTCATATGAATAGTGCTGCTAACTCTCTAGCGCCTCACAGGCAGCTTGGTTAACCGGAGTAATAATGTCTTACCGTTTTGAGCTTGCACAAGTGCGTGGATACAGGCGCTTAAGAAATGTCCATTATTAATAATGAGTGAGTGAGTGAGTTTGGTTTTACGCCGCTTTTAGTAATGTTCCAGCAATATCACGGCGGGGGACACCAGAAAAATGGACGTCACACATTGTACCCATGTGGGGAATCGAACCCGGGTCTTCGGCGTGACGAGCGAACGCCTTAGCCACTAGGCTACCCCTCTGTCGGTTCCCCCATTAATAATGATAATAATATTGTTGAATGAGGCCTTTAACAAACAAACAAACAAAGACAGCACCAATCAGTTGCGACATGTGTGTCTGCCAGTAAAATCAACGGCTCGCTGAATGGGGAATTGGCAGTTATTTTTATTTACTGAACCTTTATCCCAACAGCTCATAAAATAATTTCATTTGCGAGATAGACAGCGCTAAGTGTTGGTGCTATGCTTTTCCCTCTGCGACTTAATTCGATTATTTTTGACAGGAAGCAAGAACCATATTCTGGTTCATTTCCACTTTAAAGAATGAATCTGGTCGTATCGTCACGTGTGATGTGACAGATGCATTGTGGGAGCTGGTTGGACGCCAGGAAAACCTGCATTGGTGCCAGAATAACGGTTAATGGCATCGGGGATATGCGCCAAGGGGCTGTCATACCTATTTAAATGTCTACATCACTTTTGGAGAACGCTTTGATTTTGTCCAAGAAATCCACATTATGCGTTAGATGCCCAAAGTTAATTAACCCCGAACCGTCAATAGTTTTGCATGTGAGATCGTACAAGTTTGAAAGATACAGTGTCATACACCTCACTAAAACAGTATTCCAACAATAATTGGGGTGGATTGGGCAGTGAAAGCGAAAGATTGATGCCATTCTTCTCCTAAACGTTTTCTCTACTGAGTAGGGGCGGTGGGGTAGCCTAGTGGTTAAAGCGTTCGCTCGTCACGCTGAAGGCCCGGTTCGATTCCCCACATTTGTACAGTGTCTGAGGCACATTCTGGTGTCCCCTGTCGTGATATTGCTGGAATATTGAACGAATGAGTGAGTGAGTTGGATTTAAAACGGCTTTCAACAGTATTCCGGTTGTGTGGGGACGAGTCGGGTATTTTTTCGAGGTAATTATAAGCCCCAGGTGATGCAGATCTGACGTTGAACCCCACGGCCTCCCAATGGTGATGACAAACATAATCGGAGCGAACAGGTATTCGAACCAACGATCCTACCTTTCTGAAGAACCAAGGGATGCAACTCTGTACGTCTTTATAGACAACTGGGTCACTAGTGACGCCGTTTCATTTATTTAGGTGTAGCTCAGTCGTCTCCCTTAGACGTTCGGGGCGGCCTAGTGGCTAAAGCGTTCACTCGTCACGCCGAAGATCCGTGTTCGATTCCCCATATGGGTACAATGTGTAAAACATATTTCTCGTGTCCTGTCCTGGTTCCACCCTCCCCACCCACCCACCCCACACACACCGTGATGTTGCTGGAACATTGCAAATAGCGGCATAAAGCCAAACTCACTCACCCATTCACCCCTACTTCCTAGTTTCGTTCAACGTTACTTTGAATTTTGACAGACTTCGAGTTTCATCACGGCTGGTCAGTTGGAGGTGACAGCAAAACTCAAAATAATACACGACCATGGAGCTGTCAGATTTAGAAATATTATCATGGCAAGTCTTGGAATCAAACCCAAGATGATAGGTTTCTGGTAAGAACAAGGGACGTATCTCTGCATGGCGATTTGCGTCGCCCAACACCAAGGTCATCCTCACCTCCAATATGTGTGACAACCATAACACAGTTATATTTTCAATTCCTAACATTCCCAACAAATATGACCAAAATGTCTTTTTATTACAAAATGACAAAAAACTTGAATGTCTCGAGTGACTTTAATCTGGAAAGCTTCGTAACCTCTTTCAACAATATCACCTTTTTGCAACGGCTGCTTCCTCTAAACTAACCTAATAATATACTACAATTCCCGAGTCGTTTACAATATCAAACCTAAAAGAAATTCTCTAATTAATCCTTGAATACAAAGATATACATTTGGCATAAAATTGGATATTTGACCGTCAGCAACATTTGGACATAGATATAGATCTTTAAAATCATCAAGCGACATGTAAACCAGATGTTTCGGGAGAGATTTACGTATATCTTGACAAGTATCATCTGATTTATCCAGGGCATTCTATCAAGACAAAGACCCTTGACACAAGACAAAGACTCTTGACACATCTGTCATCATATTTTAGTTCCACTAGGATGACACGATGCCATATAAAACAGCGGTTCAGTTCAGTTATACTATTCGAGAAGATTACAACACAAGCACTTGACAGAGTACCGCCCAAATACGACCCGTGAAGTCCTGGTGCCGATCACCCGATCCCGTTAGACGCCTCTTACGACAGGCATTGGTTACTGGAGATCAATTGTATCCCAGGGTGCCGTTGTACAAAGCGATCTTAGCGCTAAGGTGACTGTAACTCCCATACTTTAACATAGACTTAAGGTAGCCTTAGCGCTAAGGTTGTTTTGAACGGGATCGGGTGGTCAGGCTCGCTGACCTGGTTGACACATGGCATCGTATCCCAATTGCGTAGATTGGTGCTCATGATGTTGATCATTGGATTGTTTGGTTCAGACGCGATTATTTACAGACCGCCGCCATATTGCTGAGTGCGGCGTAAAACAACAAACCCAAAACAAATCGTTACTGGAACCGTTATATTGCGTTCTGACGTTACGACCCAAGATTAAAATGCCATCTGCGTTATACTGTATTATCTACCTAGATGTTAAAAGGTTTTTACACTATGACACTGATACCCTTCCATACACTATATATTAAAGTTAATGTTATCATTAACAAACACCCCATGAAAATATATTGTACGTAGATGAAATAGCTCATAACAAACACTCATCTTAAGGAGAGGAAGCTGAAATACATCGGTTTAACTGGGCATTCTGTGGAATGCATAATAGGATATCCAGAAAAGCGCGTTTACTCGTAAAATCGGGCAAAACTTTGTATCAATAGCTGCTGAAACAATACATCAGGACTATTCAAAGATGGCAACTAATGACGGGACCGTCGACTCACCTGGCATGATATGCAATGTGCTGCCTACGGGCACAAGGGGTCATCTCAAAGATATTTTATGCTCTCTCATGTGTAGGTTTGAACATGTCTCATCTATTGATTGACATCTTACGTATTTCTTTCACAAAGTTTATGTGGATATATGTAAAAGAGTATGATACTTATAGAAAAGCTTAAATCAGCCTTCGTATTAAATGTCTCTTGGTAAATAGATAGGTGGCATGACCACCCGATGATCGACAGGACTGCATTAGTATGTGTAGGAGAAAGTCCGAAATCTGTCGGTTAG